CGCAGGATCTCACTCTGTTGCCCAGGCTGGAATGCAGTGGCACAATCACAGCTCACTGCAGTCTTGACCTCCTGGTCTCAATCAATCCTCCCATCTCAGCCTCCCAACTAGCTGGGATTACAGGTGTATGCCACCACACCTAGCTAATTTATTTTTATTTTTTATAGAGGCAACGTTTCACCGTATTGCCCAGGCTGGTTTTGAACTCCTGGGCTCAAGTGACCCACCTACTTTGGCCTCCCAAAGTGCTGGGATTACAGGCATAAGCCATAGCTCCCAGCCTACTTCTTAAGACCCAATGGTGAAATAGCCACAGTTTTTGCTTTTCTTTTAAAAAAAAAAAAAACAACAACAACCATTTCGCAAAGTGTGGTATTTTCGTATCTTCGACGTCTTTAAGCAGAATTTTGGGTAGATCTTCACTTGTTCTTTATCTCAATGCCCTCAAATTAATTGTGGTGGTGGTGGGAGTGGGGGTTCTTCAGGGTACATGGCCATGCTATTCACTAATTTGTTTATTCATCACTCCAAGGCATCCTATTGTTTAAGATGGAGTGGGTCTTGGTGGGCTTCATGTCCAAAGTGACAACGGGAGATTTCAGGTTCCTTTAAAACTGGCTCTAGAACTCCATCTCTTACACTGATGGTTTTACTTAGACCTCAGAGTTGTAGTCTCTTCCCGGAGGAATGGCCACTCAGGTTCTATAGCCTTATAGTGAGGGTTCAGTGTGCAGACCCTGCTGCAGATTACAGGACCATGGGAAATGCTGAGGGAGTAGAATCATTCTTAAGTGGAACAATTGGTGGTTCCTTTATGGCCCCCGGTAGCACTTTTTCACTGGAGTTCTTCTTCTCCTCAGGTTAACTAGGGGATCTTATGGATTTTTCCCTGACAACAGTATATACTGCCTGTGGAAGTTTGACCCTTTAGCCCCTGCTATTTAATGGTGATTCATGGATCACCAGCAGCAGCTGCACCACCTGGGACCATGTTAGACATGAATAATCTTAGGCCCCAGAATCAGAAAGTGCATACAGAATCCCTCGGTGATTTGTGTGGATATCGTAGTTTGAGTGTCATGGCTTTTATCTACAGCAGTGGTTCACAATTCTGGCTGTGCATTAGAATCACCTGGGGAGCTAAAATACCCATCTCTAGTTCACTACAGACCAATTAAATGAGAGTCTCTGGGGGTAGGGCCCAATTTTCAGTACATATTCTTATAAAGCCCCCTTAAGAGATGCTAATATGCAGCCAAGTTAGAGGCCCAGTGACCTAGAAGAGCAGGGATTCTCAAATTAGGCTGTAATATCAGGAGCACTTGGGAAGTGTTAACACTTTCTATGCTCAGGCCCTGAGGTCCTGATTTAGTTGACTTGAGATGGGGCTGGGTATCTGCATTTTGTCATGTCTTCCCCATTAATAGATGAGAATCATTTCCCAGACAAAAGTTTTGTCATTGTACAGACCCTGCAAGGATGCAGGGAGGGAAAGCAGTCTCATAAACGACTGTGTCTCCTCATTGTTTCTGAGCCAAGGTGGGGGTCTCCTTGACCATTTAGGGTGACTGTCAGAGATGCATCTAGCTATTGGATATGCCCTGCAGACTTAGGAGAATGTAGCAGATTCAGAGCACATTTACTCTGCCATTAGCCTCTACCTGCCTATCAAGGAAAATGATGGAGCTGGCACCACAGTGAAAACAGCAGGAAGCTCTTGACCCTGCTCACAATAGGCACTGGGGTGCAAGGCAAGCTATGCCCTTGGGTGTTTGCTACTTGCTTTAGTGCTGAGCCTCATCCTACCCATGGAGGGAGCAATGGCAGAACTCAAGGGCCTTGTGGCCTGGGCAAGTCAAAGGAGTAAATAACGAAAGAGGGTACTTTGCAGGCATCACAGTGACATGGCCTCCGTGGGTGAACAGAATAAAACTGAACATGAATATTTGTTCTAGAGACAAGTTCTCACCAACTGGTTTCATTTTAGGGCTGTGCTGAGCTCTAGAGATCCAGGTGAGCTGAGGGAGGATGTGTAACTCTGTCTACCACATATCTATTCTAGTTAGGGTTTTAAACTGGCTACGGGTCTCTGGGATCCCCAGGACTACTATTCACCTACCTGCCTAATTCAGCATCCCAGTACAGGTGATGAGTTCCTAACGCATGCACAGGTGCCAGTTCCATCCCTTACAATCATTATTTTTCCTCCACAGCTGGCGACGTGGGACTCAGAGAAAGGCTTGAATGGCAGCTTGCAAGAGAGGCCTATGGGCAGCCGCCTCCAAGGATTGACTCTCAAAGTGGTGACTGTCTTGGTAGGATCATGGGGACATTCTGGGAGCTGCACCATCCAGGCTGTTGAATCAGAGGCTGCTTTTTGTTTAATGCTGGGTTTAGGGAGAAGAGAGTCTTTAGGAGTGTTGCGAGCTTTCATAAGGCCTTTTATTCAAATAATTGTGTGAACAATGAAAGGAAGAGTGAGATTGAAGTTTCTGTCCCAGGGCCTCTGGGCTTTCCATAGAAAGTCCCTGAGCTGGGGGTAGGGCCCAACTTTCAGTGCATACTCTTATAAAGCCCCCTTAAGAGGTTCTAATATGCAGCCAAGTTAGAGGCCCAGTGACCTAGAAGAGCAGTGATTCTCAACTTAGGCTGTAATATCTAGCTGCTCTAGAAAAGGACTTCTCATCCACAGCCTCCTCTGAGGACCAGAAGGGGTCCAGCTGCTCCATTTGTTCTTGGATGTAAACTGGATCTTGACCCACTATTGGTCCTTAGGAGAGCTGTTATTGTAGCCAGAGCCCCCAGAAAGATGCTGGAGGAGGACATTCTCCTAGCACCCAACACCACTGATGGGCTCAGGTGACACAAGTTCAGAATGAAGAGCATTTGGTAGTTGCAACTTTTCTCCATGGGTGTCCTGGAATTACAGACTTTTGCATTTGTAAGAGAACTTAATACCATCTTCCTTTCAGTTGGCTTTTTCACATTTTAATAAAAACTGCAGGAGACATTATACATTTGCCTCTTATTGGCTGGGTCACACATGCCCAAATGTCCCCTCTTTCCCAACAGACACTAACATTCCCTGGCTCAGAAACCTTCGGCAGCAGTATTTCTGCATTCCCTGTATACACACCACAAATAAGCTTTATACCCTATTTCCCAACACAACTAAATTAATGAGCTGTACTTCCTGGAGCTGTTTGCCAAAGGCTCCTTGTTCAGTTTCACACAACAAGGAAGGGGAATGGTGGGGAGCGCTGAGGTGTTTTCTAGATGACCACCTTGCTCACATGTGGCATAGCACAACATGGGAGCATGGCATGGCTTTGAACTCGGAACTCTGGGTCTGAATTCTATCCTACCCTTTGGCTTCTGGTCTGGTCTTGGCTAATTAATCTATATCCACTTTCTAGTATAGTCCAGTAGATACAATGCTTTTTCTCTCAATCTAGTATCACAGAACTTTATCGACACTTCCTATCTTGGATGAAAAGTTTCATGTGCCTTATGTGGGCCTCATATAGTTTTGGCATATTCTAAAGACATGATCCTAGTTCTGCATGGATGTAATGGAGGAAGGAAAAGAAACCATGTTATTGAGGGAGCTGGGGGTTGGGGCAGAGCCTGGGATAATATAATACAGGACAAATGAATCTCTGCCCCTCCGTATGGACCTACTGATTGGAGTGATCATCCTGTGCACTGTTCCTTGAGTGTCCATAAACTGCTATAGAAAAGGGCAGAGAAGTTGAACCTCCAGTCCTAAATTGGGTAACTACAAATGTTCTAATCTGATCTTTCTAACATTGCCCTGGAAATAGTGTTGATGAACCTATTATTTAATTAGAGAACCTTCATTCTGTTGTCCTCAGGAAGAGCCTTTCGTGATGGTGGCTGAGAACATCTTAGGACAGCCCAAGCGCTACAAAGGGTTCTCCATAGATGTCCTGGATGCACTGGCCAAGGCTCTGGGCTTCAAATATGAGATTTACCAAGTCCCTGATGGCAGGTACGGTCACCAGCTCCATAACACGTCCTGGAACGGGATGATCGGGGAGCTAATCAGCAAGGTAGGTCCCCACAGCAGATCTGGGGGAGGGGCACCCTAGTCTTCCTCTGGGGCAATATCTAAACTTGACCAATTGCACAGTAGAAACCTTGGGACCAGCTAAACAGACCACAGTTACCGTTCTCCACACACAAAGGCTCTTTTGTCCTCAAACCCCTGCTATGTCCATGTCTGCTCTTGTATCTCCTCATCGCTGACACTCTGTGTTACCTCCCTACACATTGCTGTCATTCCTTTGAAGTCTATCCACTGTTCCTACTCTGTAGCACACCCTTCAAGGAATGCAGCCTACAATTGGGGTGGAGCAAACACCTAGTTGCCATCAGAGGGACTGGTGAATGCTCATTCTCCTATCCCTCATAGACCACAGGTAGGATATACATACACATATGTGTATGTCTACATTGCTACATATTGGTGGCGTGGCACCTCCCAAGTCCTCTTACTCATTTAAATTGCCCTCTTCTTTCCTCCCATAGAAACTGCATCCTCATTGAAACTCATGGCATGAAGCCAACTTACCATGTCCCTATTCTTGTCATTTCATGACCACTGGGTCATTTCCTCATGATCATTTATCATGGTGGCATCTGACTCAAGTCCTTTGTCTCCATTATTACTGCTGCCACCGTTCCAACAATTTCTGACATCCCTGTGGACAACCCTGGACTGCCAGTGCAATCACCTCTTCACCTCCAGGGACCTTTGCTGTGCTCCACTCCAGTGCTCACCCCCATGCATCTTGTTAGCATCTTACATGTCACCGTCACTAGCCCACTGCATGACCACAACATGTCCTTCTGACTTTTTTGTACCTTTACTCTTACAACACAGGCTGTTTGCTTTTTCAGCCTGTAAAGGCAAACACTAGGCTTGTCATTCCTCCAATTTCTATTAATCTTACTTTTAAAAAGCTTTATTGTGGTAAAATTCACATTCTATAAAATTTACCCATTTTAGATACACAATTCAATGACTTTTAGCAAAGGTACCGGTTGTATAACCTTCATTATCATCTAGTTTTAGAATACTTCCTTCACCCCATTGAGATCTTTCATACCCCCTTATAGTTAATGCCATTCCCACCCCCAGCCCTAGGCAACCATTAATCTACTTTCTATCTTATAGAGTTGCTTCAGTGAACATTTTGTATAAATGGAGTCATACAAGATGTGGTCTTTTGTGTCTGATTCTTTCCACGTAGTGTGTGTATTTGAGGTCCATCCTTCTCTGCAGCTTCTGTGCCTTTCTGATACTGCATCCTCATTGGGTGTCCAGACAAACCCCTGCTCCCTTCATCCCTGTGACTCCCTTTGTTCTTGATTTTTTGTTGTACCCTAAGCCTGAATGGATTCTATTATCTATCCTCTTAAATCCCGGTTGCTGCACTCAATTAGAGAAGAAAATTGCAAATATGTCCAAATTGCTGTGGAAACCCTTTGTGGTCTCCAGAATCAGCTGGGCCTTTCAGTACTGCCAGAATCTTTTAACTTGTCTTTTGTTGGGATCATTGACTATGTCTCTCAGAGACTGCTTGAAAAGTCTACCTTTCTTCTTGAGCTACCTAAGAATCCTTCCCAACTGAAAAATAATTGCCCTTCTATATGGGGGAAATAAACTGAGACTTTGTGACATAAAATTGTACTACTAATTCCTATGAAATTTACATCTGCAGGCACCTGCCATCTCCCACAGAGGGGAGTGTCCCCTGTCCCCTGTCAGTCTCTGCCACTGTCGTAGGTCAACCCCTCCACTTGTGTCGTGAGTTGATTCCTTTGTGCCTCCTTTGAACCTTGCTTCATAAATTATTTTCTCTTCATTCTGTGTTGTAAGCCTATCCTGCTCCACTAAATCTCTTGTTAAGCCCTTAAATATGCTCCAAACTTTCCTAATCCTAAAAATTGTCCCTAGATGTTGGGGTTTTTAGAAGAGATGCAAGAACCAGAGATGCAGTGGCACAAGTGTAAGAGGAGAGTGTTGATAAGGCCACCTCTACATTTTTTGTCTTTACTCAAGGTATAGTATTAGATTTCAGTTTAGGACATCAGTATATCTGTCCATAGCCCATATGTTAAACCTTAGAAAACTTCTTCCATGTGTGTTTCCCCAATTTGAGCATAGAGTTTGGATCAGTTGTCACTATTGGTCATTCTAAAAGAAACTGGTTCTGCTGATGCCTCTCACTTGGAGGTCCAAGAGCCAAGATCATGACGACTGCCTTTCAGTGCTCTTGTGACTAAAGGAGGACTCCAGGCCCCATTGTCACCTGGCATCCACCCATCCAGACATGAAGCTCATAATCGCCCCAAACTTGGCAGCTTCATCCTCACAGTCTGGATCCATCTTAATAGAATCTCTGTCTGCTTTTAAAATGAAGCTTATCTTAGAAGACAAACATCTTGGGAGGTAATCTTGAGGTCACAGTAGGGCATGTCCAGAGAGATTCTTCATACCATGACTTTACCATGGAAAAATCAACCTGTGGGTCTGCAAGCCATGAATTAAGGGTGATGGAAGATAGAAATAAGTAGATGACCTTTTGTTCTTTCAGTGTTTTACTCTCTGGCCTAAAGTCTACATATAGAACACTCAGTGGCCAATATGTTAATAAGGTCTAACATGGTTGTTGAACTCACCCTATAACTTCTGAAGTGTTTTAGAAAAGAGAGAGATCAATGTGGGATAATAGCATCTGGAGAGGTGTGATGAAGAAATGGAGTGTGCCTGTGGTCTTAACATGTAGGGAGGATGCAGACAGGCCTAAAGAAGATAGAAGGGCCTTCTTGGTGCTGGGTAGAGGGAAACACAGGGAAAAGAAAAAGAAGATAGCTAAAGTTTGGTAGAGGAACAATAGCAAAGTGAAGAAAATCTATAATTCAAGAGAGATGAAGATGCTTTACTCAACTCTTTTCTGTAGAAGAGGTTTCCCAAAGTTTTTAGAAAAGAGAAACTTGTAAGGTGAAGGAAACAGTAACAGACAATTTAGTGTTGGATTTTCCTTACAATATTCAGACTCTCAGGGTGTCAGCTCTCAAATCCATTCCTCTGAACCGAGCAACGCAAAGAGCAGAGGGTGGACTGGACCTTGACCCAGGGCAGAACCCAGCAGTAAGCTGAGGACTGCCATCTGATGAGATGGCTTTGCCTTTCAGAGAGCAGACTTGGCCATCTCTGCCATCACCATCACCCCAGAGAGGGAGAACGTTGTGGACTTCAGCAAGCGGTATATGGACTATTCGGTGGGGATTCTAATTAAGAAGCCAGAGGAGAAAATCAGCATCTTCTCCCTCTTTGCCCCATTTGATTTTGCTGTGTGGGCCTGCATTGCAGCAGCCATCCCTGTGGTTGGGGTGCTGATCTTTGTGTTGAACAGGATACAGGCTGTGAGGGCTCAGAGTGCTGCCCAGCCCAGGCCGTCAGCTTCTGCTACCCTGCACAGCGCCATCTGGATTGTCTACGGAGCCTTCGTACAGCAAGGTACCTTTGGGCTTTCCTGATCCTTGAATAGCTCTAGGGGCCTAGAAGAACTTATTCACTGGCCAAGTTCTCAGGTGCATTTTACCAAAGTCATTTCAAATACAATTTTACTTGATCTCTAGGACAGTACACATATCATGTTGCGCCCAATTTCTCTGAATAATATCAAAGAGAAATTAAATGAAACAACAATAAGGAACTCAACTTCAATTCCTGATGCTCCACTTTAGACAAAATTAACTTTGGAGTTCTGCTTTGCACTTTTCTCCCTTCCCACATTAGAGCGATTGCTATGCACATGAAGTTGTCAAATGAAACTGTGAATTTTGCTTAAATTTGATGACTTAATGGGGAAAAATTTCAATTATGTTGCAATCATTTAAGCAGTACTCCAGCCATTCTTGAGGCACAAATTCTCCTACCTCTGAGAGGTCTGGATGGTACTTCTATCCAGTAGTGAGTTATAGGATTGGGCCATTTTCACTGGAGCAAGAAATTGCAAAATTTCTAATGTGAGTCTTGATCCTGTTTGTACTGTGGCAAATGCTTTGTGAGGTTATGTAAGGAGAATAAGCAGTGAGAAGCTTTCTTCTCCTGACATTTTAGAGGCCAAAGAGAAATAACTGGTTTCAAAGAGGCTAAACTTCTAGTGAAAAGTTTCATGCCATGATTTCTGAATATTCTAGGGGAAAAAAGCCATCTATTGAGGGCTGAATATTAATAAAAGTGATATGGAATATCTCATTTCTCAGGTTTAAAAGAAAGCCAGGGAACCCTTCATGTAAGAGGTATTTCTATATTTGCTGAATTCCCGAGTCTGCTATATATGAATTTGAAATTGGAAAGGGATCTTACATAAGGCTGCATTCCTAGAAGTTCTTGCCACTGTGAGGTAGAATCTCCTAACCGAAAGATTTTGATATTCATACCCCCACCCTTAGTGTTTTGACAAACTTCACACCACTAGAAGCCCAATCCTAACTTTTCCATATTTTGTGGTCCTCTGCCCCTGTGCAAGATCCATGGTTTTAGAATCCTATCCCAGAATTGGCACAGACCCAGCTGGCGGTCACTTCCCTGGCTCCCAGTCCATTATCAGCAGTGGCCTCTGTGCCTGGCTGCAGGGCAGAGCGCCTCCCTGGGCACGGGAGAGAGAGCAGAAGCCACCGGCCAATTCATTTTGTCTGCCTCTTGCAGGTGGCGAATCTTCCGTGAACTCCGTGGCCATGCGCATTGTGATGGGCAGCTGGTGGCTCTTCACGCTCATCGTGTGCTCCTCCTACACGGCCAACCTTGCTGCCTTCCTCACAGTGTCCAGGATGGACAACCCCATAAGGTAAGCCTATTCCTCCTTGATCTGCAGCCAACAGCTCAGAGAGGTTTTAAAGAGGATGTAAACCTGTCCAGGGCAGCCTGGTATGATGGAGAGAGCTTGGATCTGCAACCTGATGGTCTCCTGGAATCTTTAGTTCATGGAGAAGAGCTTTACTCCTGTTGTATTTTATCTCAGGCACAATTACATAAATGTATAATTTCATTAAATAATATTTCCTGAAAATTTAATGCTGGCTACAAAGCTAAGAAATCAGTTAGCAAATTACATTTCCTCAGACATTTAAACATTGATTACAAACTTATTTAATTAAAATTTTATAAATATTTAGTTAGAATTAACTTAAACCAGAAGTCTAATATATGATTTTTCAATCTTCAAACACCTTAAAATGATTTTTTCAAAAATGCCAATTACCACAATAACTAGAAAATGTATTTCATGCACATTAATTTATATGATTATAAAATTATTGAAACCAAAGACTAAATGTGTGTCTTTATATTTACAAAATGTTAAGATTATGACATAAAAGAATGAGCTCGAATATAATGAAATAACTCTTGGAAGTAACTGTATTTTATAATCAGATTCCCAATACGGTGTAAATTACAAAAAAAGAACTTGGACAACATTATTTGGTGTGGATGTGTGGTTGCTGAAGTGGCATGGATCTGTTGTACACTTCATTGGGTATAATACTGGCTTCAGTATTGCCTCTAACTTGATCTCTGATTATGTTTTTTTTTGAGTCACTGCCTTTAGTAACGTCTCCTTTAATTCATCACACTCACTGTCATCATATTGGTTCTTTTGATCCACGGCTCTTCATCAAGTCATCCATACTCAACCAGCCTCTATGGCTCCTACTGCTTATTGAAAAGAGTTTAAACTCCTTGAATAAGATTCAAGATTCAGTATGATATTGTCTAATAGCATCATTAAATTGACATTTTTATTGAGATAATTATAGATTCATATGTAGTTGTAAGAAGTAATGCAGAGAGGTCTCCTAGGATCCTTTACCTAGTTTTCCCAATGGTAGCATTTTGCAAAAGTCTAATATTATATCAAAGTAGGGTATTGACAGTGATACAGTTAGCTGATTTTATTCACATTTCCCCTCTAGTACTCATCTTTCTGTGTGTAGGTCCATATATACGTGTGCATTTGATTCTATAATATTTTATCACGTGTAAACTTGTATATCTGCACCAGAGTAAGGACACTGAACAGATCCATCACCACAAGGATCCTTTGTGTTGTCTCTTATAACCACCCAACTTCTTTCACATTTCTTCCCCTGCCACTCTGTCCCCGACACTGGCAACCATTAATTGTACTCCATCTCTGAAATTTTGTCATTTCATTATTTGGTATAAATGGAAATATGCCTTTTGGCTTTCGCTTTTTCATCAACGTAATTCCTTAGAGATTTATGCGCGTTTTTGTGTATATTAGTAGTTCGCTGCTTTGATTATTGAGTAATAGCATTTATACCACAGTTTGTCTAACCATTCCCCCATTGGAGGACATCTGGGTTGTTTCCCCAGTTCTTGGTAATTATGAATAAAGCTGCCATGAACATTTGCGTGCAGATTGTTGTATGAACATGAGTTTTCTCTTACATGTGATAAACACCCAAAGGTGCAATCACTGGGTCACATGGCAAGTTCATGTTGGGTATTGCAATAAAGTATCAAACTGCTTTCCAGAGCGTCTGTGCCATTTTATATTTCTTCCAGTGACCTAAGAATAATCCAGTTTCTCTGCATCTCTCCTGACATTTGATGTCACCATTATTTTTCATTTTACCATTCTGACAGGTGTGGAGTCATACCTCATTGTGGTTTTATTTTGCATTTTCTAATGACACATGATGTTGCATACCTTTTTATGCACTTATTTGCTATGTATAGATCCCCTTCAGTAAAATATCTGTTTTTATCATTTCTAAATGGATTGCTTACTACTTTTGAGTTTTGAAAGTTCTTTCTATATTTTAAAAACTGGTTCTTTGTCAGATATGCAGTCAGCAAATATATGCTTCTACTCTGTAGCTTGTCTTTTCACCATGAAAAGGTTTTACTTTTGATGAGGTTCAATTTAGAAAATAATTTATTTCATGAATCATGCTTTTGGTGTCAAGTGGTTTCCTAGCCTGAGACCCGAAGATTTTCTACTTTTATTTTTTACTGAAAATATTTGCATTTTACATTTCAGTCCACCATCAATTTTGAGTTAATTTTATAAAGTTTGAGGTTTAGGTTGAGGGTTTTTGGGGACTTTTTTGTCTGTTTTGGGCTATGGATGCCCAATAGCTTTAATACTATTTGTTGAAAAGACTATTCTTCCTCCATGGAGTTACTTTTGTATTTTGTGAGAAAACAGGCACATTTGTATGTATGTGAATTTTCTGTTCTGTCCCATTGTTATATGTGTTTGTCCCTTTGCCAATACCATGCTATCATGATTACAGTAGCTATAGAGTAAGCTTTACTGTTGGGTAGAGGGATTCCCCCCATTTTAATCTTTTTTGTTAGGAATATTTTAGTTATCTTAGGACCTGCATCTATACATATACATTTTTTCTTATTTGTATTTTTTATTATTTTCAAATTATCAGCTAAGGGATTTCAGAATTGTATTCAGAGCAAATTGACTAATTGAAAAATTAACAGTATAACCTAATTAAAAGTTTTCCATTTAATAATTAATAAATAATAAAGCATCAGTGAATCTAATAGTAGATTGAGTCTGAACCCAGCTCAACAAGTAGTTGGCTAAATATTTTCCTCAAAAAATTGGTAAAGCAAGTAGCAATTTACTATTATGTTGATCTTTTCCTAAGTTTACTGATTTTTTTTTGTTGACAAAAGTTTACAGCATGAAACATGTGATGTTTTAATGTAAATAGGGTCTTTCACTGAGAAAATGTTTTAATTTTAATAAGGTCAAATTTAGAAATGTATTCTTTCATAAATCATTCTTTTGATGTTAAGTCTTTGTCTATCCAGAGACCCTTAAGATTTTCTCCTGTTTAAAAATTTCTAAATTTTTATGTTTTCACATTTTACATTTCATTCCACAATCAATTTTCAATGAATTTCTGTATGAAGTTTGAGGTATAGGCAGTGGTCTTTTTTTCAGTATGTGGATACTGATATGGTTTGGCTGTGCCCCATCCAAATCTCAACTTGAATAGTATTTCCCAGGATTGCCACGTGTTTTGAGAGGGACTCAGGGAGAGGTAATTGAATCATAGGGGCCCATCCTTCCGGAGCTATTCTCATGATAGCGAATAAGCCTCATGGGATCTGATAGGTTTATCAGGGGTTTCCGCTTTTGCTTCTTCCTCCTTTTCTCTTGCCACCATCATGTAAGAAGAGCCTTTCACGTCCTACCATGCTCCTGAGGCCTCACCAGCCATGTGAAGCTGTAAGTCCAAGAAAACTTCTTTTTTGCTCCCAGTTTTGGGTATGTCTTTATCAGCAATGTAAAAATGAACTAATACGGTAAATTGGTACTGGGAGTGGGGCATTACTGAAAAGATACCCCAAAATGTAGAAGTGACTTTGGAATTGGGTAACAGGCAGAAGTTGGAACAGTTTAGAGGGCTTGGAAAAAGACAGGAAAATGTGTGAAAGTTTGAAACCTCCTAGAGACTTGTTGAATGGCTTTGACAAAAATGCTGACAGTGATATGAACAGTAAGGTCCAGGCTGAGGTGGTCTCGGTGGAGATGAGGAATTTTTCAGAAACTGGAGCAAAGGTGACTCTTGTTATGTTTGAGCAATGACACTAGAGGCATTTTGCTCCTGCCCTAGAGATTTGTGAAACTTTGAACTTGAGAAAGATGATTTAGGGTATCTGGCAGAAGAAATTTCTAAGCAGCTAAGCATTCAAAAGGTGACTTGGGTGCTGTAAAAAGCATTCCATTTTAAAAGGGAAACAGCATAAAAGTTCAGAAAATGTGCAGCTTGACGATGCAGTAGAAAAGAAAAACCCGTTTTTTTGAGGAGAAATTCAAGCAAGCTGCAGAAATTTGCATAAGTAGCAAGGATCCTAGTGGTAATCCCCAAGAGCATGGAGAAAATGTGTCCAGGCTATGTCAGAGAGCTTCATGGCAGTTCCTCCCATCACAGGCCCAGAGGCCCAGGAGCAAAATGTGGTGTTGTGAGCTTGTTCCAGGGTCCTCCTGCTGTGTGCAACCTGGGGACTTAGTGCCCTCTGTCCCAGCTGCTCCAGCTATGGCTGAAAGGGGCCAATGTAGGGCTCAGGCTGTAGCTTCAGAGGATAGAAGTCCCAAACCTTGGCAGCTTTCACATGGTGTTGACCCTACACGTGCACAGAAGTCAAGAATTGAGGTTTGGGAACCTCTGCCTAGGTTTTAGATGTATACAAATGCCTAGATGCCCAGGCAAAAATTTGTTGCAGGGGCAAGCTCTCATGGAGAACCTCTGCTAGGGCAGTACAGAAGGAAAATGTGGGGTTGGTGCTCCCACACAGAGTCCTTACTTGGGCACTGCCTAGTGGAGCTGTGAGAAGAGAGCCACCATCCTCCTGACCCCAGAATGGTAGATCCACTGATAGCTTGTATCGTGTGCCTGGAAAAGCCACAGACACTCAATGCCAGCCTGTGAAAGCAGCCGCCAGAGAGACTGTATCCTGCAAAGCTAGAGAGGTGGAGTTGCCCAAAACCATAGAAACCCACCTCTTGCATCAGTGTGTCCTGGATGTGAGACCTAGAGTCAAAGGAGATCATTTTGGAGCTTTAAAATCTAACTGCCCCGCTGGATTTCGGACTTGCATAGGCCCTGTAACCCCTTGCAATTTTTCCCACTTAGAAAGGCTGTATTTACCCAATACCTGTATCTTCATTGTATCTAGGAAGTAACTAGCTTGCTTTTGATTTTGCAGGCTCGTGAGCAGAAGGGACTTGCCTTGTCTCAAATGAGACTTTGGACTGTGGACTTTTGGGTTAATGCTGAAATGAGTTAAGAT